TATTGTCTCCTGCAGCTTCAGAGAAAAAGCAAATCGCGTTGTGTATAATGAAAATGTTAGTAAAACACCTGGAATTTAGATGGTGATGTTATATCCTATGAAAATAACCCTCGCCCTATAAAAGGTCTAAACCTGATTGGTTGACTTAAAAACATTTGGCTGTGGAGATAAAATTTATATTCTGTTCTGCTTTCCAGAAGCTCTAAGTGTGCATATCTTTTCATTTTAAGCCAGAAGGAAATCACTAACACTTCCTTTTTTCTCACTCTCGCATGTTGTGTTATGATTGGAATAGAATTCTTATTTAAACAAAGAGCTTGAAGGTCTTGTCTCATACAAATGAACAAGGTTCAAAAGCATTACCTGCTGCCCACATGCTCTTTGAGGTAAAAGTCTAGAAAAAATGGTGTTTCATTTACTTTAAAGCAGCATTCGCATCTCACTGGTGACTCAGATGGTAAAGAATCTGCCTTCAATGCAGGAGACCCGAGTTCAATCCCTGGGTCAGGAAGACCCCCTGGAGAAGGGAATGGCTAACTACTCCAGTATTCTTGCCTGAAGAATTCCATGGACAGAGGAACCTGGCAGGCTACAGTCTAAGGGGTTACAAAGAGTTAGACACGACTGAGCAACTAACACAAATACCCATCTCTATACACTCATACATCTCTAGCCTTCAGTTATTTTAAATGTTAGGCTTGCTGTGCACGTGAAGTCGCTTCAGTCATGTCTGCCTCCTTGTATCTCTATGGACCTTAGCCTGCCAGGCTCCTCTGTCCATGGATTCCTCAGGCAAGAATACTAGAGTAGGTTGTCCTTTCTCCCTCTAGGAGATCTTCCTGACCCAAGGATCGAACCTGAGTCTCTTATGTCTCCTGCATTGGCAAGCAGGTTCTTTACCACTAGCACTATCTGAGAAGCCTAGGTTTGCTGTGGTTATACCTAAATGATGGATTGAAGTTTGATAACTGTATCTGTGTTCATGTCTCATGGGCATTGTTCCACAGTTGATTCCACTAAGACCACTGGACTGTGTCTTAGAGGAGCCTGAGATGAGCAGACTAGTCATGCTCTGGTTGGCATCATCCTAAATCTACTGTGCATGACACTTGCTTTCTCAGCCTGGAACCTTCAAAGAAATTATTGCTCTTCTGGCCACAGCTGACAGTCAGTGGATCTGTGATGGATAGATTTATGTGTGAATGTTTGAGTGAAATATCAGTTCTGTTTCTCCAGGACCAAAGACACTGGAAAAATAAAGTACACTGAATTCCAAAATAGAATCACTTGTAAAAATAGATATGATAACCACAGAATTCAGAAATGAAAACCTACTGCTCTATCTTTATCATTATTGCTTTTATAGGAGATCAATGAGTGAAGAGTGAAGGTGTGAGATTAGTTGAATAAGCTGGTTTTTTCTATGCCACTGTCACCTCTGTGTCTGCTTCTGTACGGTTCTTATCATGATGTATTATGATCAAAGATTTATTTTCCTATGTCCTCTGCAATGCTCTCTTGTATATTTCAAATAACCCCATGACTTAGACACAATGCTTGGCACATAAAAGGTAACTCAATAAATGTTTTTTAAATGAATGAATTTTTAAAAGCCTATGAAAATAAAAGAAAGATACATGACTATGTAAAGGTGAAATGTTTGCAAAACTCAAACTTTGAAAATAGACTGGGATTCCCTTGGTGGTCCAGCAGTTAGGAATCTGCCTGCCAGTGCAAGGGGACAAGGGTTTGATCCCTGGTCTGGGGAGATTCCACACGCCTCTGAGCAACTAAGCCCGTGCACCACAACTCCTGAAGTCCACAGTCCTAGAACCCATGTTCCACGATAAAGAGAGGCCACCACGATGAGAAGCCTGCTCAGCACAACTGGAGAATAGCTCCCACTTATTGCAACTAAAGAAAGCCCACACGCAGCAATGAAGACCCAGCATAGCCAAAAATAAATAAAAATAAAATTTAAAAATAGACTGTATAAGTGAGAAAACATTTATCAAAGATCTTTGGTCCAGTCTATATAGGCATTCAGACATTCCCTCATATTGGAGTGAAATCTAGTAGAAACATTCCACTCTCCTGAGTATAAGACTTAAATCACTTAGAGCAGAACTCTAGAGAATCACATGTAAAATCAAGAAGCCCATCTGGTATTATAATATAAGTATGTATTTGGGGGAGAAAAATCACACAACATAACACAAAACACACATATTATTTTTATTACACAATCTGCAGAAAGCAAAGATTTACCAAATCTTTTTAGCCAGAGGGCATAAGAAAAAAAAATTGATTTTCCCAAGTAGAAGAATAAAAATCCCAGAAGGGACATGAGATTTTTATGTTTATCTAACATGAGCTTAGATTTTAAAAGGCTGGCAAACAGTAACTTGGCATAAATTATACTTCTGTTCCTGAAATGCTCTGCTTGTTCTGAAGACTTGCAGAGTCAACAAAACTTGAGGGCTCTTTTACACAGGGTGATTTCTATTATTCACTTTGATCTGAGGAGCCTGGGGAAACAGACACACAACTTAAGCAGCTATGTGAATTTTCCTTAACTTCTGCAGAAACATTTATGATGCACCTCCTCCAGCCCTAGGCATAGTGCAGAGGTCAATGCCTCTTCCGTAACTGGATCTTTACACAATTTGCCCCTTTCTTCCAGTCCTCCCAGAGCACAAACCCTTGTAAACCTTCTTCAAGTCACCTTTCTCCTCTTACCCTGCCATTTAGCAACTAAAGTCAAAGACATTCACTGTTTTATTTTACCTACAACTCTAACTGGCATAGCCCTTTCAAATCTATGAAGTGCTAGTACAGACATAATCCTTTGAATGAATAAAAGATGACCAGCAGGGACTTCCCTGGTGGTCCAGTGGTAAGACTTCGCCTTTCAATGCAGGTGGTGTGGGTTTAATCTCTGGTGGGGGAGTTAAGATCCCACATGCCTTGCAGCCAAAAAACTAAAACATAAAACAGAAGCAATACTATAACAAATTCAACAAAGACTTTTTTAAAAAAGAAAGATCACCAGTTAACTTGAAAGCTGTTAAGTAAGGTGCAGAAAGTGTCTATCCTGCAGACGAGCATGGAAGGGGTCAATGCCCACCTGAATCCCAACAAGTATCCTGACCTAAGTAACTAGTTTATAGGAAATGCACAGGAGAGAGGAATGTACTAAAAGATATCAAGGGGATCCCATCAGTTGAATGTGAGAAATTTTACAGGACAAGTAATTTGGTTTATTTTAAAACTGGTGTGAAAAAAAAAACAAAACAAACTGGTGTGGAAGAAGGGGGAGGGGAAATTGCTAGAGGCAGGGACATACTAATCATATACAATTTTTGGATCTTGTTTGGATATAAATTTAAACCAGTCAATGGCCCAAAGACCTTTTTCAGACAATCTGGGAAAAGTAAAAACAACTGGAATGTAAGATAATATTAAGGAATTATTGCTAATTCTTTTAATTAATTTTAAATCCATTTTAAAATTACAGTCAATTTTTATAAGATAGATATTATGGTTATGTTCAACAAATCTATTGTTTACAGATTCATACTGATGTGTAGGTGGGAGAGATGGTATTACATGTAAGACCTGAAGTTCACTCCATTGGCCTAAAGAGGAAGCAGATATGGTCCAAGAGCAAGATGCTCCCACGTGCAAGTTTAGAGGCAGTGTTTGTGGGTGATGTGATGACAAGTTTGGAGTGTAAATCGATGGCAATGGGCAGTGAAGGAAGTGATGGCTAATGGGATGGGAAGTCACTTTTCAGTACTAAGGGCAGTTCGCTCAAGAAGCAGAAGAATTTCCTAACGGTCTTCACCCCAAATACCCTTCTATAGTAATGCAGGGCACTCAGAGAGAACAAGAATTTTTTAGAAGGAGCTTTCCTAGGTGGTAATATACAGAGAAAAGCTCCAAAATCTCTTATACCTCTTACTCACTCTGAAGACCAAGGAACACCTTGAAAATACTAATGTGCTCCCATTAGTTTTCATTATTAATCAATAGATGTACCAACCCACGGGGTTACCATGCACTATACATCATGAGCTATAGACATAATTTGTCTTAGCAAGATTTAACAACATAGTAAATATTCTTCAGATTGTTTTGAACAATGGTTATTCCACCTGAAAATGCTCTAAATGTACTTCAGTGTTGTCACCCTGAACTCTCAGATCTGCCTGGCTGGCTCCTGCACTATTTTTCATCCTCACAACATTCTTATAAAGCAAAAAATGGGACAGATATAAGAACAATAGGACAGAAATTCTATAGTTAATTAAAGTAGGGATCCCAGAAGTTAACTGACTCCAATTTGTCTTTTCAAGCTAAGAAAGAGCCAGCCCAGAGATCCCTTGAACAAGGAAGCAAGCCAGGACTCACAGAGTGTAATGCAGCATCCTGGCTCACAATTCTTCCTTCCAGCTGGCGAGACCGTCCTGAAAGGAAGAAAGGCTGAGCAGAGAGCGGTGCAGGCTGAGGGCAGCTGCTCTCGCAGGAGGTTTCTGGCCCCGAGAGCCACGCAGCTGACTCTACTGCCAGGGCGCTCAGGAGTACTGGGGCTGTGACACAGTGAGTGGGGGTCAGGCCCTCCTGCTGGGGCTGCTCCTGGCCACCCTGTTCCTGGGCTGGCATGGGCCTCGGGCTGATACGGCACCAGGGAGGTAGGACGCTCAGCCTGACCGTGCTAAAGACATCCTCATCTCCTTTCCTCCATCCACTACGCCTTGCTCTCCAAACAACCTTCTACCTCCTCCTTGTTCAATGGGAAAGTAACCCCACTCTGTTCTCTGCTTTCCACCACAACTCAAGCTCATGTACAGCCACGGGTCTCTTCTTAAGATTCAGTTGGCAGCCAGGCACCAAGGAGAATCAAGAAATACCCTGCAGAGTATCTGTCATTATTTCTTTCCAGTAATATTTATAGTCTAGTGCTAAACACGGAGCCCAGTGACAGAAAACAGAACAAATAAAAACGCTCGTCTTTTATTTTCACTGGGTGAGGACAACTGAATTAGATGAAATTGAAGCAAAATAAAAGAGAAAACACATTTAGAAATTACAATATTGTTATTATAAACGCGAAGCATTCATCAAGTGCTTTGGAAATGAAATGCTGCCTTAGAATAAATACAAATTTGTAATGGGACCTTCAAGGCCCAGAGGGATAAGTAATTCTGTGATAGGAGGCTTCTAGAAGAAGATGCTGAAGATTCTCAGGACCTATTACTTACTGATGCAAACATCACAGATAAGCTCCAAAATCTCTTCTACCTCACATTCACTCTGAAGACCAAGGAACACCTTGAAAATACTAATGTGCTCTCATTAGTTTTCATTATTAATCAATAGATGTACCAACCCATGGGGTTACCATCTACTATACATCATGAGCTATAGACATAATTTGTCTTAGCAAGATTTAACAACATAGTAAATATTCTTCAAGCAGTTTTGAACAATGGTTATTCCACCTGGAAATGCTCTAAGTGTACTTCAAACACTCAATCAGACAGAGGCTCACTTTCACTGACAAGTCTGTACCACCATTCTTGGAGCACCTCTTCTTAATTCAGAGAAATTGCAACACTGAAAACCAGATTTGGTCACTGAAAACCAGATTCCAATAGGTCACAGTACTGTACTTCATCCCAGGGCTCAGTCTGGTTTTAAGGTTCAGATAAAAGCTTTTCAATAAGAAAAACATCCTATTTAGAAAAAAGGCAACTGTACCTTTCTATCTTATTTATAGGGCCAAGTTTGGTCTGGATGCCAGCTAGAAGGAGATTAATTTTCCCATTGCTCCCATTAAATAAATCCATCAAGATTATATCTGAGATTAGCATGGTTTCAGGATCTGGGCAATATTAGGTCCTACGATGTTCTGGCTACAGAAAGCAGACCTGAAAATTTTAAAGGGGGGAAAAAAGACAATATTAATATGATTCCAGTGTAGGTGACATAGAAAATGTAGGTAGGTCTTCTAATTTAATGAGTAGTTATTATTTTATAAACACTTTCACAAATACAGTATTGGTTTCTTAAATAATTTTTCTTCTCTTTAACTGCAAACTTTTGAGGGGCACACATTTTTATCCTATTTGCAAATTTAATTATATATGGATTTTAAATGTCACTTACAAAGTTTAAACTGTGTTTGAAAATGCAAAGGAAAAAGTAAGACTTACTTATATCCATATTTTCCAGATATATCTATCACCATTTCTGCTCCCAGCTTACTCTGAGAATGTTCAAATGAATACTCCTTCCAAATAAACTCAATGCTTGTAATGTTTCCAACATTAATGTCTGCATCAATTAAATCTGTATAAGTCATGCCTGGCTTCAGTGTTCCACTGTCAATAGAAAAATAAAATTCATAAGCTTGCACTGGGTATTCATAATATTGAAGTTGAAGACAACATCTGTGTGTATCATGGAAGAGAAAGTTTCATTTCCCTGCATTTGATTATAGGAGATTTATTCTTGCCGTTCACCTTGGTCAGCATCTCAGAACAGCACAATTCTAAAGCTTAAAAAAAGAGTGAGGTAAATGAGAAGCCTGACTAGTTGATTTTTAGGGGCTAGTTCTCCAGTGAAGCTCTGGACTTGGCTTCACGGTATCAGAAATTAGAGTTTATTGACACCCCAAAAATCATAGGACTATCAATGATAGGCTAAATTCACACAAAAATTAAAGAAAAACTAGAAGCCTGTTTATCAGCTCACAGTGGTGCAATGCTTCCTTTTCATTAACCAAAATGTACACCTAGCCTTCCCTTGCTACCTTCTTCATCTGTATAAAAAGAATTGGGTAACCAAACTAATGATAAAGAAAGGTATTTTGGTGAGTGTGGAAATAGATTAGAGAGAATAAGTCATAAGAGACTTGAGACATAAGACATGTTTTATGCAAGCCAAAATTACTCTAGATGAGATATCTTTAGTCCTGCTATTTCCTTACTTTGTTAATGTATTGCTTGTCTCCTCTAACTGGAGGAAAAGTTCCATGAGAGCAGGACCCGTGTCTGTTTCCCCAGCAGTTATAACAATTCTTGGTATACAACAGCATTTAAATGTTTGCAGAATGCATGAATGGATGCTGCCATTCCTAGGGCCTGTCTTGTTCCATTACATGTAGAATTAATTGATTTCATTACCAGAGGACAACTTTTTTTCAGGTTATAAGGGGTCATTTCCCTGTTGCTCCATGAACTGCCTTCACTCAGCATACACACAGTACAGCTCATCATGATGGTGTCATTGGAAACCCAAATAACTAAAATATAATGTACAGTGAGGGGTTCCCTGGTGCCTCAGCGGTAAAGAATCTGCCTGCCAATTCAGGAGATGTGGGTTCGATCCCTGGGTTGGGAAGATACCCTGGAGAAGGAAATGGCAACCCACTCCAGTATGTTTTCCTGGGAAATCCCACGGACAGAGGAGCCTGGCAGACTACAGTCCATGGGTTCCCGGAAGAGTCAGACATGACTGAGTGCATTAGCATGCAATCTATGGTGAAGCCAGACTCAAAGCTTGACTGAAGAGTGGGACTAGACCAGCACACAAATTCATTTAGCAGACTTCATTTCAAGATGAAATATTTACTGTGGACCTGAAATGCTTAATTATTCTTAAAAAAGAGGATTGGATAATTATGCAAAGACATGACAAATAGATTCTTTAGACATTAGCAAAAGAAGTAAAGAGATGACAAAACATTCCCACAAATTTTAGAAGGGGTGGGGACCACGCACTTCTCCCCACCTGACCCAGGTCAGCTGCCTTTGTGCAGAACACAAATCCCACAGCCTCAGGCAACGAGTGCACTGTGGGCCTTAGAGCCACAGACACAAGATCGTGTTAAACTGTCCTCAGAGGAATAGCTTAATGCACATGTGAAGAACAAGTGGACATGAGACTTGCTAAGACAGGGAAGGGTATTTGGAACATGGAATAGCATGGATAAAAGTCAGGAAGGGAGGAAAGGGTGAGATGTATTTTAATGCTGGGTAGTGTAATCAGGGTAATGTGGCTAAGCCAAAGAGGAACAAAGCCCAATCTGAGGGCTTTCTTTTCACCTTGTTTATAGTTTCCTTTGTTGTGCAAAAGCTTTTAAGTTTCATTAGGTCCCATTTGTTTATTTTTGCTTTTATTTCTAAAATTCTGGGATGTGGGTCATAGAGGATCCTGCTGTGATTTATGTCGGAGAGTGTTTTGCCTATGTTCTCCTCTAGGAGTTTTATAGTTTCTGGTCTTACATTTAGATCTTTAATCCATTTTGAGTTTATTTTTGTGTATGGTGTTAGAAAGTGTTCTAGTTTCATTCTTTTACAGGTGGTTGACCAGTTTTCCCAACACCACTTGTTAAAGAGGTTGTCTTTTTTCCATTGTATATCCGGCCTCCTTTGTCGAAGATAAGGTGACCATAGGTTCGTGGATTTATCTCTGGGCTTTCTATTCTGTTCCATTGATCTATATTTCTGTCTTTGTTCCACATACTTTGAATAGGAGCCATGTTCACTGTTAGAGGAGGCTTCATGCATTGATTCCCACTATCCTCAGGCTATATGTATACGCTCAACTAACATGGTCAAAAGTTCACTTTGTAATTAATATCTGTAGGCGTGAATATAACTTGATTTCCACAACATCTCCCAGGTCTATCTGGAATACCATGGCAATATTCTGACTACCCAGATGCATAAACAATATGAAACACTATCTCAACAACAGGCCTCATTTATTTTACAAACAGCAGTAATAGTCATAATTTCCATTATTTGAGAAGCATTTTCATAAAACAAGAAGTCCTAATGGTAGAATTAACTACTACACATCTAGAATGACTAAATGGATGTCCTCGATCATATCACACATTCGAGGAACCCATGTATGTTAACTCAAAATAAGTAAGAAAAGGAAGGAATTCAACCCTCTTCCACTGGTTTCAAGCCAACATAATAACCATTATGCCTTTCTTAGTATGTGAGCTATTAGTTAAATTGTACATAATTTTGTCAAAGTTAAATTACAGGTGAAAAGCCTTTATATCTCTGTGGCATATCCTCACCAATTAGGCTTTTAAGAGGCCACACTACACACTGTAGAAGAACTATGACATTTTTGGGATCACCCATTAATAGCTGTGGTTTTAATCACCTCTTTGGTCATCTATATAATTTCACTAATAGTGACAAGTAGATTAACACAAACAAGTACAACAGATGCACAAGAAGTAGAAACTATCTGTACTATCTTACAGGCCATTAGTCCAGTTCTAATTGTCCTGCCATCATTATGAATTTTCCACATGATAGATGGAGTTAATAGTCCTTCCCTCACTGTAAAAACTGAAGACATCAGTGATACTGAAGTTTTGAGTACGTGGACTATGAGGATTTAAATTTTGACTTCAACATAATCCTAGCATCAGACCTAAAGCCAGAATTATGACTACTAGAAATAGATAACCAAGTGGCATTCTCTATAGAAATGACAATCCAAATACTAACTTCCTCAGATGATGTTTTATACTCATGAGCCATGCTTCCCTAGGCCTAAAGACTAATGCAGTCTCAGGCCATCTAAATCAAGCAACTCCTATTAACAGAATTAGGTCTTTATTATGGACAATGTTCGGAAATCTGTAGGTCAAGTAATAGTTCCACACCTATTGTCCTTAAACTAGTATCACTAAAATACTGGGTTGGCCAGAAGGTTCTTTTGGGGTTTTCCGTACGGTGTTACAGAAATGAACTTTTCCACGAACTCAATACTATAAATCCATACAGAAACTAAACATCATTAACCTTTTAAGTTCAAGACTGGGAGTTAAACCTTTCCTTAATGGTATGCCACAATTAGATACATCAACATGATTTATTAGTGTTTTATCAGTATTTCTAGTTCTGTATATTCTATTTCAACTAAAAATTTCAAAATATATTATTCAACTAATGGATGTCTACCAAGGTACAAAAACAATCACAAGTGTAAATGATATATGACACGCTCAGGAAGGAAAGCAGCTGGGTGTGGCTGAATGACAGGTGTGTGTATGTGTGAAAGAAAGTGAAAGGGTTAGTTGCTCAGTCGAGTTTGACTCTTTGCAACCCTATGTACTGTAACCCGCCAGGCTTTTCTGTCCATGGGATTCTCCAGGCAAGAATACTGGTGTGAGGAATCATTCTCTTCTTCAGGGAACCTTCCCCACCCAGGAATCAAACCCAAGTTTATAGCACTGTAGACAGATTCTTTACCATCTGAGCCAGGAGGGAAGCCTGTGTATGTGTGTGTGTGCGTGTGTGTGTGTGAGGAGATAAAAGTGGGAAGGTAGTTTGAAGTAAGAATGTGAAGGCCTTTAGGATGCTGAAGGTCTTAGCAACTTCTGGGGGTTCTGACTTTGAACCCATTTGTTGAACCTCATTTATATGTGTGTAGAACCTGCTGATTGGGTTGATGGAGAAGAGAGAGGAATCACTTGGTGAAGATGTTTAATACTCACACCTAAGGTCAATTAACTCTCCATCGCTGTTGGAAAGAGGCAAGATAGTGTCTCGTGTGGTACTCTGATTCCTATGAGTGCCTAGTGTGGGCTGTCAGCCTTAGAAGGGAAGGGTTAAGAAAGTCTTCTGTTGTTTTTCACTCTGCTGCACTCACATTCTCTATAATGAGATAATCAGATAAGGAGAGTGGCCTGGGCTAACCCGGCTGGCCCCTGGGAAGAGAGGTAAAGACATATATCAAAAGACTGCAAGGGTTTCCCTGATGGCTCCACGGTAAATAATCTGCCTGCCAATGCAGGAGACACAGGTTTGATTCCTGATCTGGGAAGATCCCACATGCCGTGAAACAAATAAGCCCATGCACCACGACTGTCGAGCCTGTGCTCTAGAGCTTGGGAGCCGAGAAGCCCAAGAGCCCATGCTCCGTAGCAAGAGAATCACCGCAATGAGAAGCCTGCGAACAACTAGAGAGCTGCCCTGCTTGCCGAAACTAGAGAAAAGCCGGCACAGCAATGAAGACCCAGCACAGCCAAAAATAAATAAATTAATAAAATTATTAAAAATAAAAAAGACTACAAGCACAGATTCACTTCCAGGCTCAAATTCCCTCAGGATTATTGTTGTTTAGTCGCTAAATTGTTTCCAACTCTTTTATGACCCCACGGACTGTAGCCCACCAGGATAAGCTAAGCTATTATAATGGGAATGAATCTTAAGTCTACAAACCCAGGTGTGCAAAGCATATCAAATTTCTTAATTTCCTCTAAATCAAATTGCTTCTGACTCAAAATCGCTAATCAATTTGCCGGCAGGAAATTAAGCCGCAGTCATTACTGGAGTTCCTCTCCC